TTCCTTTTTCCTGCTCTCCCCCACATGCCCCTGCCATCTTCACAGAAGTTGCTGGAAAGGAAGAGGCTGAGACCCCAAATAGATCCCAGAATGGTGAAGACGGGATAGGGTGGAAATATTAAGTCCTGCTAGAAAGGGAACAGTGAGGAGACTGAATTGATCCCAGCTTGGGAGTGCCCTGGGGTACCCTGTACTTCTCTGCCTCTAGGAACTTTGTTCTCAATGTCTCCCCCTTTGGGTTCCCAATACACCCACACAGCCTTGCACAAAGAATGCTCAATAAATAGCATATCTCTGTATCTCTGTATCATTAATACCTGTATCATCTATATCTCTCTACAAAGTAATTTAGAGCAGTAAAGGCTGTTTGCCCCAACCAAAAATCCATGACCTCAACAATAACAATTAGGATCTAATTTCTAGTTCTACCTCTACTACTTATTGGCTTTTTTATTTTCTAATTGAAGAATAGTTGACATGGATTGTATTAGCTTCAGGTGTACAACATAGCGATTTGGCAGTGATATACATTGTGAAATGCTCACCAGGATAAGTGTAGTTGCTACCTGTCAACATACAAAGTTATTACACTATTATTGACTATATTTGTTATGATGTACTTTTCATCCTTGTGACTTATTCATAATTGGAAGTTTGTATCTCTTTATCCCCTTTCCTCTATGGCAACCACCAGTTTGTTCTTTGCTTTGAGTTGGTTTCTGTTTTGTTTGTTTATTTGTTTGTTTTGTGTTTAGATTCCACGTATAAGTGATATTGTATGGTATTTGTCTTTTTGGTCTGACTTAACTCACTTATCATAATACCCTCTAGGTCCATCCATGTTACTGCAAATAGCAAGATTTCCATTCTTTTTCATGGTTGAATAATATTCGTATGTGTGTGTAGTATAAGATCTTTTTTATCCTTTCATCCCTTTGTGGATACTTAGGGTACTTCCATATGTTGGCTATTGTAAGTAACGCTGCAGTAAACCTAGGGGTACATATATCTTTTCAAATTAGTGGTTTCATTTTCTGTGGGTTAAATACCCCACAGTGGAATCATTGGAACATGTGATAGTTCTATTTTTAATTTTTTGAGGAACCTCCATATTGTTTTCCGTAGTAGCTGCACCAATTTACATTTCCACCAACAGTGCATGACAGTTCCCTTTTCTCCACATCCTCACCAGCACTTGTTATTTCATGTCTTTTTGATACTAGTCATTGATTGGTTTAAGGTGATATCTTCCTATGGTTTTGATTTGTACTTCCTTGATAATCAGTGATATTGAGCATCTTTCCCTGTGTCTGTTGGCCATCTGTATGTCTTCTTTAGAAAAATCTCTATTCAGCTCCTCTGCCCACTTTCTAATCAGATTTTTGTGTGTGTGTGTGTGTGTTGAATTGTAGAAGTTCTTTATATATTTTGGATATTAACCTCTTATGGGATATATGATTTGAAAGTATCTTCTCCCATTTAGTAGGTTGTCATTTCATTTTATAGATGGTTTTCTTGGTTTGCAGAAGCTCTTTAGTTTGTATGGTTCCACTTGTTTATTTTTGTTTTTGCTTCCCTTGCCTGGGGAGACATATCCAGAAAAAAAATTGCTAAGGCTGATGTCCAGGAGTTTACTGCCTATGCTTTGTTTTAGGAGTTTTGTGGTTTCAGGTCTTACAGTTAGGCCTTTCATCCATTTCGAGTTTATTTTTGTGTATGGTGTAAGACAGTGATCCAGTTTCATTCTTTTGCATTAGCTGTCCAGTTTCCCAGCACCATTTATTGAAGACTGTCTTTTTCCCATTGTATATTCTTGCCTCCACTTATTGGCTTTTTGACATCATTTAGCTTCTCCAGATCTCTTGTTTCCTCACGTACAAGATGAAAGAGTTAAACAAGGACAGTGGTTTTCAAATGGGATTCCAAGGGACCTGAAAGTTCCGGGAAGATGGGATGGTGAGGACAAGGCAAGAGGGAGGACGGAAGGCAATGGCTGGTGGGCAGGGCCCCACATCTACCAAGGCGGTTCCCCCTTGCTCTGTTTTATCTACCATGGTTCCACACAAGATTGCATTTAAATAAGGGGTGCTGTTGTTAAACACTGGCCTAGTTCTTGTCTGAGTGACTTTCCAGCTTTGACAAGACAGAATTTGTCATCTATTTCACTCATAAAATTGTGCATGTAAGGAGAAAGCAAAAACAATTCTTTCTCTCTGCATTTAGGGCCATCTTCCCTTCTGTTTTTAGAGTCATTGGCCACCTTTTACTTCCCACCAAGATCCAGGTACACACATAACCTCCCCTTACCTCTACTTCGTTATCTAGTCAATGAGGACACTGACAGCATTTCAGTCTTGGGGTTTTAAGGAGAGACTAGTATTCAGTGAGTGATGGATGCAAACTGTCAGCCTGGAGTGTAGCACCTAGAAAGTGCCCTCTGAGTGGTGGCTTTGATGACCACTGGCGTCCCTGCAGATGGCGGCTTCTCTGGGCATCATGCCTGGCTCGTGGCTGGGGTTTTGCAATCTGCAGGTGGAGATTGCTCTGTGATTAAAAGCCAGTGCACTGTGAGACATCTAATTAGCCATCATCTTCCCAAGAGACAGTTCAGTTGTGTAATTTTTATTCCCATACTGCACACACCCTCCATCAGCAAGAGAGCTTGGGCCAATCTTTCACTAGCCTTGTTGTTTGTTTGTATTCTGTCTGTGCCCACAGACCCGCTTCTCATCTTTTCATGGCTCCCAGCCACCAGGGAACATGCCCAAGGCAGCCAGGGTCGGGGTACAGGGAATAGTTTGCACATTTTGTTTCAAAGACCCATCTCCAAGACCAATGCACTGAGAGCATGTGTATTGGCTGAATCTCCTGTCTGGCTCAAGGGGGAAAGGCCCGTGGCTGATACTCCTCTTCACCGCCTGTTTACAGGGAAGGCTTGGGGTGGTATAAGGGACACTAACAGGATCAATTGTTTTCATCACACAGGACCCATCTTTGTCATGGTCTACTTCACCCCTGTGAGCCTCAGCTTCCTTATCAGTTAAATCAGGACACTAATACCTTGCATCACAAGGCTGTTGCAAGTTCTATCTTTCAACATGTATTTATTATGTTCTCCCGGATGAAATAATGTTCATAGTAGAGCTTTGCAAACTGAAAGTGCTGTCTAGAGGGGAGTGATTCTCACAATTGTGGTTTGTCCTTGATTATTCAAGGACTTTTTATCAAGTTTAGATTATCCAGCCTCATTATTATGAGATGATCATGCTGGCCAACCTCTTCCCGCCTGCTGTTGCATGTTCTGTGGTTTTCGTCTGGGTCAGTTCAAAGAGCCTGATCCTCGGAGCAAGCTCAGTAGGAAGACACTTGCATCCTGAAGCTATTATTGATGGCGGCTGTTACTATCCCGTTGGGATATGTATTTGACCTCTCTCTTACTTAGGAAGCCAAGTGCTCAGTGCTGAACTAGAAGCCATGGGTACTATAAAAGAAATAGAGGTCCCTGAGTTCTACACACTCCTTCTAACTGCAAGGGCAAAGATCCATACAGCACTTAGGAAGCAGTGTCTTTATGAGCAAAGTACTTTCTAAGCACTTTTTCCCATAAGCTTCTCATCCAAACCCTGTAAGTGGGTGTTAGTAGTTTTACCTCATAGATGAGGAAACTGAGACCTTGAGAGTTTATCCCTTATCTGAGGCCACACAGCTGGTAAGTGGTACAGTCTGAGGAAACTGTCTCCCTTTGACATGATTCTAAGATTATCTGTCCTGTGTCTACTTCCCCTCTAGACTCTGGGCTCCTGGCGGGGGGCAGGAGCTATTTCTGTTCATCACAGTGCCTGGCAGAGGCCCCCTCTTAGGATGCTGGCCCTTGACATAGCTCATTCTAGGCCCCAAACTCCCCAGTTTCTCTCCTAACCTCCCCTTCTAGTCACATCCAGAAGGACTTTTGCCTTCCTGATCTACAAGCCAGCAATTCAGGGGCCTCTGCTCAGCTGCCAGGTTGTTGAGGCAAGTGAAGACTTGACCGGGGCCTGGGGTTCCTGGCCGAGTTCCTGGATCTGTCTTCCCAGACAGAGGGGGAGGTCCCTGGCATTCAGGACCCTGGGCCCTTACCTGCCAGCAGGAGGCTGCGCCACTCATGGCTGCCAGTAAAGACAGAGCCCAGGAGGCCTGGTCAGTGGTTGCCTGGGGGTTGAGAAATGTGCTGGCTCCATTCTCATTCCTTCGTCTGAGAAATCAGGGGAACCTGACCCAACAACCCAGCATTTGTTTCCGCAGCGTCCGAGACAGCCATGCAAATCAGGCCTGCCTGACAGAGCCCAGGCCCAGGGAAAAGCAGCCTATTCATTTACTTTCCGCCTCAGTCCATGTTCAGTGGGCTACTGCCAGGAGAAAAGTTCTGAGTGTTTTGCTTGGGCCAGGACAAATGTGCAGGCCTTCTCTCTGTGCAGGGCCTAGGCACTGGGTGCCATGGAGAAACCGGGCTTATCTGGTTTCTGCGTTTGTTCCTTGAACTGCACTGGGAGGAGCCCCTGCTTAGAAGACTTGTCTAGTTGGATTTCAGCTTGGGCACTTACTGGCTGTGTGACCTTGGGCAAGTCACATAACTTCTCTGAGCCTGCTTCATTATTTGCCAAATGGGGATAATAGCAGCAAACTTACAATGTTATTGTGAGGACAGACTCACTGAAATAACATATTTAAATTACCGGACACATAGTAGATGTTTAATAAGGGTACATCTTTTCTCCTTTCATGCCATGCCAAGGTTTCCTAACTTTCTCTCACCTATGTCCACAACAAGCAGAAAAACCAGAGCTCCTGCTTCTATGCTAACTACTGTTCAGCAGGTTTGCTGATTTCCAGATAGCCTGTGCTGCTACACCTAGTTGCCCCCACATTGTCCTCAGCACACACATGTGATTGAGGTGGCATTGTAAGTTATAATCAAGGAACAGCCATTCATAAGTCTATATACTAACATTCCATTTATTCATCCAGGTGTTCATTCATTCAAAAAATTTTTATTCAACTTCTTCTGAGAAAGGCCCATTGATGACTCTGCTATCCTTCACAGCCTCAGAATCCATTACTTCTAGCCATGTCTCTAGGAGGAAAATGAAAGAGCTTTCAGTGAGTACACAGCAGTATCTCCATCAACCTGTATGAAGAGTTTCTAGGAGTTGGGGAAAATTGGTACACAAGTTATACAACAGAGAGGCAAGGGATGTGGTTGTACTTGTGGGCAAGACTAGAGTGTGCTGGTGATACAGGCCAAGCTAAGAAGTTTGGATTTTATCCTGAAAGTAGTAGAGAATTATCAAAAATTTTAAGCAGAGGAGTGGTATAATCAGATTTGCTCTTTAGACCAGTTTTTCCAGCTACAGTGTTGAGGATAGATTAAAGAGAAAGGCTGGGGACAGTAGAACCAGTCTAGTAATCCAGGACATTTTACCTAAAGGATAGGTAAGAAGCGGGGATTGACAGAGGAGGAGGAATTGAAAGTTGTCCAAAGCGGTGGTCTCGGTCATTAACTGGTCAGTGGTTGAAATGTAGTGAAGCCTCAAATAGCTTTTGGGTCCAGGTCCAGTTCAACAGCTAATTGAATCTCATGCTCATGAAATTATAGTCAACACAGAGCAGCTTATGTGAGTGCTTTGTTTCCATGAGCCTGAATTTCATCTGTTGGGACCTGGTTAATAGATTTGGTCAGCATTTGGAGAAATCAGAGATATTTGAGTTGTTCTCTGAACATCTGTCTCTTTTTTCTGTTTTCTATGTCAGTTTCCCAAAACCTTTGTCTCCCCTTAGACAGAAGCAAGGACTTGCCCCTGATTTTCAGTGGGAAGATGGAGATATCCTTACCCTTGGAGAGGGCCTTGGGGTCTGTGGCTTTTTATGCTCGCCATCTTCTAGAAGGCCCCACCTGTAACTCAAAGTCATCTCACCCAGGAAGGGGCCCTGCTGGCCACAGGTCTGGAGCCCAGGAGTCTTCCAGCTTGCTTCACACTCTGAAAGAGAAGAGGTTCAAGTCTCCACAACCAGTTCTTTCCTTAGAATCTTTATGTATTCTTTTACTTACTCTGAATGATTCTAGAACCTCAGTCTTATACCTTTCAGTAAATATTCGAGATCCACTTGATATAGACCCCCACCTCATGAAATGTGATAATGAGTTTCCTCTTAAGAGAAGGGATCTTCGGTGCTGGAAGCTGAAAATATTTGAATGAGTCAGATGTGGTCCCAGGGTTTCTCATCAGTTCCAAGTTAAGGCTTCTGTGAAGCAGCTTGTAAAAGTACCTCTGGCTCTTGTTTTTCTGCTCCATCCAAGAGTTGGGGTTTAGTCTCCTGGCCACATGGCAGGCTATGAACTTCTGCCTGGCCTGACCTCCAGTCTCTATTTCACAAACTACTGGCATTACCTCCATTTCGGTCTCTGATTCTCACACCTCTTTTCAGCCCTAGTGTACCTCATGCTCACAAACCCCTTAACACCTTTCCCTGTCCCAAACCATCCTGCCAGTACTGACACACACAAGGTGGTTTGGGATCCTTTGTAATCAGTGGGAGTTTTTTTTTTTTAGTTTCCAGGAGACTGCTTAGAATTGGCTTTTATTTCAGGTATAGATTTCTGAGTTAGTAAACATAGCTATCACTTATTGAACACTTCCTATGTAATAAACACTCTGCAATTTATTTTACTGAATCCTCTCAATACTCTTGGGAGGTACATCTTGATGCTTGCAAGATTGTTTGTTTCAAACTCCCTTCTCTAGGAATTCCTTCCGCAAATCCATATGGTTTCAGCAGGAGCTACTAGATTTCTGTGTGACCCCACCCCTTGGGCCACGTGATTGATCCCAGGGGGAGCACCTGACAGAGGTTAGGCCATCATCCCCTTCCCTGGGAAGTTTGGTACTGGGACTGAAAGAATAAGATCAATTTCTCTCTCAGTGTCTGAACAGTAATAAGTAAAAACACAGTGATCTTCATAGCCTTGCTTTCTACCATCTTAACCAAAATAAACCCCAGCTTTGGGCTTTAGAAAGCACAACTTCCTGGAAGCAATAGTGTGGTAGAGTAAGACAGATATGGTTGAGTAAAACAGACCAGAGTTTGCCAATTACTGGCAATGTGGTTTTGGCCAATAACACTAACACTTACTGAGCCCTTATTATGTACAGGCATTGTTCCAAATAATTCACATGCAGGATTATATACATTATACATTTGTCCTCACAATAATATAAGATAATTTCATCCCTACTTTTTGCCCCTGAGAACACTAAGGCCCAGCATAGTTATCAATGTGCTCAAATGTACACAGGTGGTTAGATACATCTCTTTAAGTCTTAACCATCTGGAAGTAGAGAGAATACCAGCCCTTGTGTGGAAAAGAAGTAACATAGCAGGCTGAGACTGCTATTCTTAGAAAGGTCTACTTGAAAGTTGACCCTTATCTGGTAGATTTCTGGAAGGTTCCCACCATTCCCTGATAAGGATGGCTCACTATTTCTAAAATGTTTGTGCAAACAATATAGTTTTTACTTGAAGACTCCTGACATATCTCTACTTCAGCACTGTTGCATGAGGTAGAGGCTCAAGCAGACTCATCATTTTGAAGAGGGTTTGGTCACCAGGAGTGCCTATGAAATGATTAGACCCTCTGTGAGCAGTCCCACATGGAGGGTACAGCCTGCACAGTGCCATGAGGAGGCCCTGGAGCCCTTCCACCACCATCATTGTTACTCTTTTTAACCCCCCAACAATTCTTTAAGACTGGCATCCTACGTAGAAGGGCAAAATACTTCTAGATATTTTTTATTAACAAAGGAAGTATTTATTTCAAGAGGGTTCCCAGTTTTTAATAAGGTTGTGCATGGGGAACACACACTTTCCATTGCTGTATTTTTAAGTTGATTCTCTGGGAAACTGAGTACCACAGGCCTGCTGATGAGGTGGTAGCAAAAACAAACCCATTGCTAATAGAGGCCTTAGTGGTCTCCAGCATCCTTCTCAGAGGGGAAACGGAGGCTCCTAGGAAAGCAATTTCCTGGGTGTCTTATGGACAGCCCATGGCAGAGTGAGGCCCGGCTCCAGGGCTGGACACAGTTTTACCCTGTTGCCACCCTCTTCCAGTTGTCCCAGTGGAGCCAGGTGACCCCACACTGACCAGCTTTATGTGTGATCAGGGAGATGGAGTGAAAAGTGGGGAACATGTGGAGAAAAGGCCCAACCGTTGGAGTCCCCTCCTAGGAATTGGCAACAGGGTATAAACATTCAGTTCCATCTAAGACCTGGGTGGCAGCCAAGGGATGGCTTATGTGAATTCAGCAGGGCTAAGGGAAAGGAGTGAAGGTGACCAACGGCCTCCTGTTTTGCTCCTCAGAATCAGTGTGTGTACATATATAAAGCCAGATCTATAAGCGCCAATAAAGAAGGCAGAACCCGTTAAGCCAGTAATTGAATTCAAAACACCATTCGGGCTTTAAAGCATCTAAATGGTTCAGGACAAAGTGGGACATGGGGCTTAAGTTACCCAGATAACAAATTCCATCTCATAACTTGGTCATCTGGGATGGTATTTCCCAAACTGGAGCTATTGATAGTAGGTGTTCCAGGAAGAACAGTTGCTTTGGTCGATAAGTTTAGGTAATGCACTAGTCAACCAAGTAGAATGGACATCTTTACTGTAAGATTTGTCAGAGCCAGCTGCATTGTGAAACTCTAAGACAAGGTGGGAGTATACTATTATAGTACAATATGTACATATGTATGTGCATATATATTTTTCTATAACATGTGCATTTATATATACATATATATATATATGTATGTGTGTGTATATATATATATATAATACACTGTATATAATACTGTATATTATAGTACACAGCATTGCCCAGACTTATTCACCTAAAGGTCTCATTTGTCATACAATATCTTATGGTGCTATCATTTCAGAGCCTGCTTTGGGAAACAAAGTTTTGGATGGTGTTAGCCATCCCTTAGACCTAAGAGAACATTTTAGGACAAAAAGATAATTCTACAAGGAGAATGGTAATGCTAAAAGGACAGGGTTTAGCCAGCCCAGTTTTCTGGATCAAGTGGCTGGGTTATTAGCTAAGAGATACAAAGGTAGGGCTCAATAAAGATGAAATCTTGGCTTCTGGTCCTTTGGGGATTCCCTGAGCCTGAAGTCCAAGATCCACACCCAGGTGTCACACTTATAAAGGACATTGTGACTGATAGAGCTCAGCACCACCAAAGGAGACCTCTCCAGGGATGGCTTTTGTCTACCTGTCCCATCGGCAGGCGGACTCTATAACTGGTCAGCTCACCATCCAATGAAAGCAGGGGCTGATGGCCTCCTGCGGTGGGGAAGGGTAAATTTACACTCTAGTGAGAAGTGATTTCGAAGGTTTCTCCCAGCCCTGGGATTTTTGACTCTAGACATTAGACTTTGTAAAATTGACTGATGATAGTATTCTTCAGTCTTCTTACCCACTATGTTCAATCTATTAGCAATTCCCTAATTTCTACCTGCACATGACTCTCAAATCCACCCACTTGTCTCCACCTCCACTGCCATTACCCTAGTCCAAGTGACCCTCATCTTCCACCTAGAGTGCTGCAGTGATGACTTAATTGATTTCTCTACTCCTATCCTCTTCTAACCTGTTTCTCAAAGCCATCAGTGGGTTAAGACTGTTGGAGGAAGGGCAGGCTCCTCACCACGACCCTCAAGGCCCTCCCTGAGCTGCCTAAGCCCAGCTGGCCCATCTCCCCTTTGCTCACTTTGCTGTAGCCATGCTGGCCTCCACAAACACAGCAGCTCTCACCACCTTCTGCCATCTGCGTTTGCCACTCCTTCATGGGAAGCACGGCTCCCTCTGCAATCTGCATGGCTGGCTCCTTCTCATCCTTCAGGTTTTGGCTCAACTGTCATCCCTCAAAGAGGCTTCTGTGGTCACCCTATCTAGGCTAACACAGCTTCCATCCCCATGGCCTCCATTTACTCTCTCAGTCTCCCTAGAACTTTGCCTGTTTCCTTCCCAGTACTAATAATAATTGGAAGTCTCCCCCATCCCTCCCTCCCATTGCCATCTGAAATGTAAGCTCCAGAGGGGCATATACTTTGTTTATGCTGCTAGAATATCCCTTCTAGAATGGTGCCTGCCAAATAGTAGGTATTGAAAATATTGGTTGAGTTAGTGAATTAATTAATGACCACTTTATATTTATTGGGGGACTGGCAAGGGGGGCAGGGGCAGGGATTCTCCTGGTTGGCTGCCTTAGGTGAAGAATGCAAGCCATGAGGACCCACGGGAGCTCCCTATGGCTCCATGTTCCCATAACAGGCTGTGCCCACAAAGGACTCCCCATCTTCACCTACCCTTCAAGTCTCAACTCACCCTGCCCAGGAACACTCTGAGGAGGGGGCCATGATCCAAATAAGTTCTGGAGTGTTTCACCAGCCCTGCACCAAGAGACAAAGGCTTTTCCTAAGTGTGAGAATTGCTCTTACTGCCTAAGGGTATCTTCCTCCCTGCAGGACTTTATAAGCAGACAGACTTGCATCTTTCTGGGACTGCTTTGAGCAGACTTCCATCTGGAGATGGAGAATGAGACAAGCTAGGGACTTAGATGACCTCAGGAATTCCTTCCTGATCCTGATGGCTCAATTCTTGTCAGAGCTGGAGTTCCGCTGCTGGATTCTCCCTGTCCCCTAAATTATCTGCTTTGACTTCTTCCTCTCCACCTGGGCTCTGGATGCGCCAAGGCACTGTGCACTGAGTCGACGGCTTTGATTAAGCAGCTTTGATCTCTGTTGAGCATCGGAATAATATCTTTGCTCTCAGCATCTGTGCCAATTCCCGAAATAGTTTAGCACAGCCAAGCAGGAGGGGGGCTGGTTTGCAAAGTGTATTATATGAGAGATTTAAAAAGAAAAGGCAGCTGCAAACAGTCAGGGGTGTGTGTGTGTGTGTGTGTGTGTGTGTGTGTGTGT